AAATGAGGGTAGCCAAGCCCAAGGGCCGAGCCAGGCTCGTTCGATGAAAGAAAAGTCCATCCGTAAAAAAAACTCGTCTCAACTAAACCCGTCTAATTTTGCAATATTTTGGGCCTTTTCACAACATTTCTGCTAGAATTTCGTAATAATTCGTTGGGTTTGAGGTTGATGGCTGCACATCGGGTCTGGTTTTCTGAAATCAAGGTAAAAAAAACGCATTTTTCTTTCATCTATATTCTAAAGCCAATCCGATTCGACCATTCAAGTCGTGTGTGAATTCGTACATTTCATTTGTATTGATATTTGTCTTCGTGGCATCCTTTTCCCAAAAAATATCTCTTATACCCGTGAAAAAAATGCATTATCATGTATTCAGGCAGACGGTGAATTTGTTTATTTTAAACATTTGTTTCTTGTAAAATTATGTTCAAACGCAACGGAGCAAAACGCTTAAAATGTATTTCTAATCAAATGATTTCCCTCTTTGTTACGCGTCATTTCAAATAGAGTATTATTGTGACTTATGTCGCCATTTTGTTTTTCGTATAAATTTGGACGAATTTTCAATAGTTTATCTCAATTCATGCGATTCTTGCCTCTCTTTTCTCAAATATTACAACATAGGTAGACATATTCGTAGAATATTGTTCTTTTTTTAAGCATGAATTTTTGTAAATTCTAATTGCACTCCTAAAATAATTAAAGTTAAAGTTTATTTTGTGCGTCCTGCTTCGTTGTTGATTATGTGTGAGTCACAGTGCAGCTCTGTAACTCTGATGCAGCCCTGGCATGTATTTCCTACCTAGATTTTGCATCTGGAAGTATACAAATCCATGTGAAATATCAATTGAATATTAATTGAAAATTATTCATTAGGTTTCGGTTATAATTTCACATAAAAACATTCACGTGGGTTTATCATAACCTGCGGCAAAAACATGTCATGTATGAGTACTGGATTTTTCATGAAATCTAATTTAAAGTTATTTGAAAATTATTTTTAAAAAACACATGAGAAATGTCAGAATGCTAAGATCAAGAACATTTATAAGGAGCTGAATGTTTTGTTACTAGAGATTGATTTGTTAGAGAAATCATAGTTTTTCATGACATCAAAATACATAATGTTTACCTTCTATAACTATCAATACTATCCCATAACTAATGTGATTACATTTCATTTGTATCCCTGTTCAGTGTTCATGGTACATAACTCATATTCTTATAAGACACATGTACTGCATACATCAAAATACAGGGGTGTCTAACATTCAGTACAATTGCAGGACATCTATAACAAATCATTTCAATTTAATATATTTATCCAGGTTGCTGGAGTGATGGTTTTGAATAAAAATAGAAAAGCAGTATTTAAATGTGAAATGTGGGCCTTCATCTGTTATGACAAAGACATGAATTGTTAGAGAAATGATTACCTTTCATTACATCAAAATACACAATGTTTATCTTCTATAACTATCGATACTATCCCATAACTAATGTGATTATATTTCATATGTATCCCTGTTCAGTGTTCATGGTACATAACTCATATTCTTATAAGACACATGTACTGTATACATCAAAATACAGGGGTGTCTAACATTTAGTATAATTGCAGGACATCTATAACAAATCATTTCAATTAATATATTTATCCAGATTGCTGGGGAGCAACCTGATTGCTCTGGAATAATAAAGAAAAGCAGTACTTGAATGTGAAATGTGGGCCTTCTGTTTTGACACAGATATGAACTGTGTCTTTCAGTCAAATTATATAAATAATCAATGTTGAATCGGAAAAATTCGAGATTATACTTTACTCTGCATTTGTTTTATCTGATCTCATTAGTTGGAAGGGGAAAAGGATAAATAAATGTTATATATGTTTTGAAATTTATCTGCAATTGTATCAACAACAACTAAATCTAGGGGGCATAGCAACAAGATGCATCTAAAACAATATATACTACTGTATTATTTATTACAAATTGATCGATAACATAGTTCACAAAGTTATGCAGGTTAATTATTTTTTTATTTCGTTCCTTCTATATTCTTGATGACATCTCGTTCTTCTATAAGGATGGATAAACTTGATAGTGGATAACACATCATGTTCACCAAATAAAATGGCATTCTGTAATATAAAACTAAAGGTTTATTAGTAGACACTATCATTATAGAATTGTTTAACTTTATCCTCATACACTTTTCCAAACTGCAGATGTGATGACGTGTCCCCTCTGACATATACAAGTTCGAAAACAAGGATAACATTTCTTATTCTCACCAAATAAAATGGCTTGCTGTAATACAAAACTAAATATTTATTAGTAGGCACTATCATTTTTGTTTAACTTTATCCTCATACACTTTTCCAAACTGCAGATGTGATGACGTGTCTCCTCTGTCATATAAAAATACAAAAACAAGAATACATTTCTTATTCTCACCCTCGAATGCCCCTACAATCGTATAGACAGAAGTTACTTCCTATATTTTGCAATCTTTTTATCCAGCCGAACAGAAAAGCCAAGCTGATTGGTTTTGACTTTGATGGAACGTTGTGTTCATAGACCATTATAATCATGTAATTGCATCTTGGTGGGAGAACAAAAGCAACAAGCGGGACCACAACACACAATAATTTGCTATTACACGTGGTAATTGGAGTTTCTTTTAGAATTAAGCCCAGTACCAGTTGCCTCAGGCATAACCTAAAGTATTTTGTCATATACGTTTTTGATTAGCCCTCGAGTAGATATTGTTATGGAATCATATTTGATATATGGTATTTGATCAAGTCGTTTGTATTAAGCATCTTTGTTAGAAGACAGTATAGCCATGTGATACCGCCCCGAGCTAGCTTCCGTATATTTATTTGAATCCAAACATTTCAAATGTACATTAGTTAAACTTTAGAGCCATCCTTAAATAAGAGTTTTGTCTTCTATTTAGACAGCTTTCTTATTGTAGACATAAACATCTGCAATAGTTCCTTTATGAGTTCTTGTAGACTAATATCCTAGGAATTAGAGAGTATTACTTGACAAAAATATATTTTGAGTCTGTTTCCTGTGCCTTTACAACGGATTTGAATAGGGCAAATTTTATCAAACGAAAACACTTTATTGGGAGGTTTTCCCATGTGATTTGAAAAGAGGAAAATAAATCATAGAATAACTGAAGAAAATAAAAAATAAGCGGTTTTAAAACTTGTTGCAAACACTACGAATTCGTAATGTCAGTGATAAAGCTTTTACAAGAGTTTGTTTTAACAAAATTTGAGCAAAAATGAATGTCCCCCCCCCCCCCCCCCCAATTAACAACAAATCAAGAGGACAATGATATAATTCTCCTTTTCCCCTCCCCCTTCCCCCTCTTTTTAATTTAATTACTTAAATGAGAATAGCAAGTCACAAATAATAAATATTCACAAAGAATTTAAAAAAAATGCCAAAGTCTTAATGCAATGATCTTTGACTTGCAGGCGAAGATTATTTCAGTTTTCTTGGTCTTTTTTTAACGTACTTTCATAAACTTAACTGATACATGTACCTCTATTATTTCATACACGCCTATTTTATTTTCATACTGCATTCATTACTTATGCCGTTGCTATTTTAGCACAAAATTATTAAGTGTAAACAAAAGAAACAAAATTAGTCATGGTGATGTACTAGGAATTATATCATTTATGTTATTATTAGAATATGCTAATCTTTAAATAGATTTATAAGCATTATCGATCCTAAAAATTCTTATTTGAATTATGTTCAAGATAAAATTTATGTGTCAACTTTCCAGTCTTTATAATAATATTTTATTATCCCTGTATATATTTCTTTAATTACTATCATCATTATCATCATCATCATCATTAATATCATCATCATCATCATCATCATCATCAACAACAACGACAGCATCGTCAAAGTCATTATATGTATTAATAAATAAATAGGCTTTCAATTATTTGTCCTTTCTGCTTAATTTTCATCTATTTCATAACATTTGTCTGGGGCCGTCATATTTGCAAGCAATTTGCTTACAACTTCAAGTGACAGTCCTTTTTCCGCAAATAGTTGTATAAAGCTTGATGAAATTTTATAATTTGACAAATCATCTTTTATTTTTTTGTTTAATCATTATGATGCAAACTTTGCTTATTTAAATTAAGTGTCACGAAGTACTGTTAAGTATTATGTTTATGATAAGAAAAGTTGTATAAAGAAGAAAATGAATAAAAACAAATCAAGTATACATGTACTGAATTGTATAGATTTATGAAACGAAACATCCAGCTTTCAGGCCTCTTGATCATTCCATTAACATGGTTAATGTTGATGAATAGTTAGATTGCGAACAATCCTATAGAAAAATTAGAAAACAAAACAGGATAATACATAGCCTGGGGCTATTATAATAATAATAGCTCGTTCTTATATAGCGCTTTTCAGGACCGGAGGCCCTCACAAAGCGCTTTACAGATAAGTATATTATTACCCGGTCATTATACCAATATCCCCACCACCCCCAAGTAAGTCTACTACGTATGTGCTGCTAATGTAATAAATTAGAGTTAAAACACATTTAGTTGAAACAATTAGCCATTTGATTGCATATTTTAATGAGAGTTTTAGAAGAAAAACAATATACATAATCGATACACTTTGAAAGAAGAAAAAAAAATCATAATTCAAAATTTATAGAAAGCTATTTCTAGCGATATAGGCCTGCTTTGCTTTTATGTGAACTTCTAATCAAAGGGAGATTTCCTCTTTAATGACAGTCTGTTATTTTTCTTTTTCTTTTTATTCGTTTCTCTTTTTTGCTCCTCCACGTCGTTTATTATTGATTCACTTACGTGAACTTGAAAAGTGCAAGCCTCCCTAGATTTATTTACAAATTTCCGGTTGTGTATTCATGGCATTCACGGTAGAATTATGACAGAAAATGGAAAAATAACAAACGATATAATGGGGTATTAGACGGATATGGGGATCAGGGTCAAGTGCGATGGCGATCAACGATCACGAGAGTGAGAGATGTCGTCTGCTCACACTCAATTTGTTTAAAACTCATTCTAAGCTAGAGGCGTACTTAGATGTGTTGGTGAATATGATAGCTCCACTTCAAATACTTTTGGCAAATAAGAACTACCTTGAGTGCTATCGGACATCTTGAATACGTATTTCCTTTGTCAGCTTATGAAAAAAATATTTTGAAGCATTTGGGGTGGACATTTTGGCAAACTTGTCTGAAATTATGATCCCACCCCCTCCCTATCAGAAATATGAAGTAATTACAATGTGGGAACAGAAAGATACATTTTTGTTTTCAAGTAATGTTCTCACACCGCTTGGAGCACATTCCAGTACTGTCTCATATTATCTTGATCATGGCATCTTCTGGTGACCCCCCCCCCTCCCCCTCCTTTCTTTCCTTATTTTACAATCGTTCTCACCTCTCTGTTAATTCAGCGTATAAAATAAATATTCATCAGTAACAGTGTGTATATCCTGTTCATCATTTTTTCCTTTAACTGGGGTTTTCTACCTTTTTTATATTACAATAAATTATGGAAGTTAATCAAACGTTCTTTCGAGTGCACGCCAGATAACTTCTATAGGTGGGACTACACGTTTCGCATAATCTAACGCCGGTCATACTGACTTTCGTTAGGATTGATCAAACATACTTTTCGAGTAGGAGGGACTACATGTATCGCATTTGAGAAATGAAACGAATGAGAACCAACCCATCACTTCGGCCGTAGTATCATGAGAAGATATGTCAACACGAAGATAATAAAAAGTGTCATCAGCTTAAAACGCGATGAATTGGGTCAAATTCGGGAGGTCTAAAATGGACATATCTTCTGTGCTGCTTTGCTTGCATCTTAACGGGTTTATGTATAGAGATGGGGGAAGATTCCTGCAGTAATGCCAGTGATAAAAAAGAGGGTGTTTAGATCTTCTTCCATCACCACTCCCAAATCTCTGGCTCTTACCGGCAGGCTTAATTGCACATTAATAACAACTCTGAGCCCCCTATCCGCCATGTAAGACAGCTAAGCTTCTGGGAAAAAAATCTTCCCTAGCAAATTTTTTTTCACTTCGTCCACGCTTTCCTTTCCAATTCCAACACCCATCTTCAAAAAAACATCATTATCACGTATAAGAATTTCTGACATTACTTGTAACCGGCTATCAGGGAATTCGTTTTAAAATATTCTAACTTAAAATCAATAAAGTTTGTAAACGTATTTAAATTCTCAATATATACCCCCCCCCCCCCCCCTCTTCCTCTTTTTTTGTTTACATCGTTAACACAATTATAACGAAGCATCTCTGGAATTATCTAAAACCTGAGTGAGATGTACTTGTAAAGAAAGTCCCTTGAAATTTTAGAACTATACAACTGTTAAAGACATTTAAGCTGCCAGACTTGAGGAACACATTGCCAACGAGTTTTCTTTTTTGACACGTATATATATATAGCTTTCTGGCAGTGTTTTAAACCAGAGTGAGATTTAATGCCTCGGTATGTGCTATAGATTTTCCGGGGATTTTCTAACTTTAAAACATTTAAGCGTGTAGAGCTGAGTAAGACACGTCCAACACCCCTTCTTTAAATAAACATAATTAGCACTTCAACATTTTTTAAATCATCTTAAAACCGAATGAGATTTAATAGAGGAACATGCGCTTTGCAATCTTAAGCTCGTAAAGTTCAGTTGCGTAGGAATTAAATGTGCAAATCTTCGCTTTAGTCCGTCCTGTAAGATTTTGTGTCATTAATGTGTAGCCATCAAGTGTGAATTCATACACACTACGCGTACACTAGGTGGTGATACGGTTATGATATAATATTATTTTTTTAAAGAGGCAGCAGAACATTTTTCAACGGCATTTTGATAACAGTTGAATGAAATATACATGAATTAAGACAGAGAAGAAAACTACTGAGAGCTCATATTTTTTCACTGATGATAGTGAATATTTTGTTTTATTCTACCTCTTAAAGGCTCTGTACATTACAATATCCATTTCATTCATATCTATTTACCAGAGACATAACTGTGATTCAAAAATGTGATATTTAATTCACGTTGTTTCAAATATAAATTTGTAGTTATAAAATTAAAAACATCACTAATTATCATCCAAACTGACATATTAGAGGGAATTACTATTATTATCATTATTTTTCTTCTTCTTTTTAACATTTATTTTGAAGGGGAGGGGGAGGGGGTAATTGTAAATAAATATATTCCCCAAATATACATAATAAAAAAAAAACCTGATTTCACCCGCATGATTAAAAAGTTTACAATTTCGACTTTCAATCTGACTTTAACGTGATCCTCAGTCTTTTTCTTTCTTCTTTTTTTAAATATTGTTTGTAATCAATGCAGCGTTATATAGGCCTAAAATAAAACGGGATGTACATTTGAATAACATAAAGATTCTTGAATATGTTGAAGAGCAGGATCACAGTGTTATGAATATACCCCTTCTCAGGTTCGATTGATGGTTGAATTTAACGGTCTACTTCATACTCAAGTATAGACGTATCCCCGACAGCCTAATAAACGGATTAACGGTGTACCGTTCGCACTCTATATTACGAAGTCCCGTTAATCCTAGACCTCTCCAAGCCGTCCAAATAATATTCCTTGTTAGATATTACTCTAAAATCATGACATCGAATAAAAAACAGCATTTGTTGCATTATTTCAAGATCAAATGCGATATCATGTTAGAGAACACGGATGTTATTTTGCAGAAAAGGCCAGTAAAACCATTTAAAATAGAGTACTTGCTGATGTTGTTAATAATTGCGCCTGAAGTTAGACTAACAAGGTGATATTTGTCGGGAGGGGAGAAAGGGCTTTTCGCTGGGCTTTGTTTGTCGTTTCGCGCGCCCCCTCCATCGCCCCAGCCATCTTAATTGGGTGACAATAGACGGTGGAAGAACAAGAATGAACAATAGGGGGAGTTTACGGTTAACAGCTATTGGTCGATACAATGTCAGGTTGAAGTCAATTTCCTCTATTCTATTGAAAAGTACGGAAACATAATATACAGAGAAGATTGTTCTGGTTGAGTAAGAAGTTAAACGGCAAATACTTACTAAAGAAGGCAATAAGCGTACATTGACAAAATGTAATGGAATAAAGTGTATTTGTATATTTATTATCATGTGTATGTTTGCCGAAATAAATGCGCAAGGTTATTTTTATCATTCAAGGACAGGTGTGAGGGCGAAATATTTCCTTTTATTTGCAATAATTGGGGCATGTGATTGAAATTAATTCATTTTAAATCTTTAACAAAATATTCTAGCTATTCTATAATGTCAATAAAATTATCACAAACTCTGTCCCTATCTGTTTGATCTTTTTCCCCGTTTCCCGCCCCTTTTTCTTTTTCTCTGTTTTTCTTACTTGTTCCTTTCTTTCTTTCTTTTTTGTTCTCTGTACTTTTCTCTCTCCCATTTACCACTGTTTGTCTTACATGTTTCTTTCTTTCTTCTTCTCTATATCTTTCTCTCTCTCCCTCTCTCTCTCTCTCTCTCTCTCTCTTTCTCTCTGTGAAAAAATCATCCACACGTAAGTGTATATATCTATCTAGATGTATATATCTCTTTGTTTGTATAACTGTCTCACTGTAAAACTCTCTCTCTCTCTCGCTTTCTCTCTCTCTCTCTCTCTCTCTCTCTCTCTCTCTCTCTCTCTCTCTCCATCCCACCATCCAATTAAACAGTCTTCCACAGGTCAATCATATTCAATGGTCGGCTTTGACACACCCTTTGCGCATGTCAAAATCATTCTTTAAAGCCCTACCCATCTATCCAACAAATAATTATGTGATATTGTTTTACTTTGGTTCTAGTTCTAGTCAGCGCCTAGAACCGATTAAATATAAATATACACTTTGCATATTAAAAATATATAACTTATATTTCATGTAATAAGTCATCATAATTATGGACATATGGCAACTAACGTACTGCAAGCGGCATTAACTCTGTATAAAAGTAAATGGGTTAACGCCCTTCTGGCTCCCAACAGACAAATTATAATCACAATTTAATCTGGGTTGGGTATTTTTCTGAACTTGTCCTTAATTTTTATCTTTCAATCGTGTGTGTTAATGCAACGTGTCCATCTCTGTGTCTATATCCTACATCATCTTATCCATCCTCGTTTGATTTGATTTTATTTGATTTATTTTCTTTTCTTCTGCATTCATATAAGTACACATTTTTTCGATAACAATAGTAATACAAAATACAAGGAGCATTTTTTTCTGACAGTAAATCATAACGAAATGATGAACTGTCATAAATACTAAATTTCAGCATGTCCATCTCTCTCTCTCTTAATCTTTTTCTCTATCTATCTGAATTCTTTCTTTCCTTCTTTCTATTCAATTTTTCTTGATGAATATGTCTTTCTTTTTCGCTGTATTTGGCATTACTTCCGTTGTCTACCTCACCGCACCACATTTGGCTTGTTTAAAGTTGGTCCTTGTTTTTGTTTTTTGTTTTATGTTATCTGCCTCAGACTGACAAATTGCTGGTGGCATTGGATCAATTATTAAGGCAGGGCGTTGTGGTGACATGATCATCGTCTTAAAAAAAGAGAAGAAAGTAAGGAAAGAAAAGAAAGGATTGGTTAAGTCCCACCAAAGCTTTGTTCACATCTTCTTGGAGGTCATCATGAGCATGATGAGTTATTTTGAAAATAATATGACTTAGATCTTACCACAATACTTTCCAATTGTATCTGACAAATGGTTCTGCTTGCAAAGGCGCAATAAACAAGTGGTGTAATGAAGAAACATGTTTGTTTTAAAGACTATAACCCATCTTCCTTTATTACATACTGTTCCTATAATGAAAGCATTCTAGCGAGTTTAGTTGTTGCACTGAAGCCGATTGTCCGCCAACGCCCCCCCCCCCCCCACCCCCTCATCGCCAGCAAAATATCGTGACTATATCATCCTAAATAGTTATTTCTATTACCAACAA